CTTCACGCGTTTTTTTTTTTTTTTTTTTTTTTTTTTTTTTTGTGGCTCCAGTGCTAATTGCAGGCAGCCAGTATGGTTTGGAGGGGATGCGTCTGGCTTCTCCCTCCCAGAGACCCCCGCTAAGCACTTACTCTTCCTCATGCTGCCGCGTCCGCGCCGCAGCGATGCCTGTCCCGAGGCCGCCGCGGCCACGCTCCTCCCGGGTGAGGTGACGGGCACGGGCAGCAGCGCCGGTTTCAAAGGTCTGCTTTGTCTTGGGCCGTTTTCTGAGATGCTCCCTTGAGAGGAGAGTGAGGAGGTCGATAGCGTCCATGAGGCATACAGGGAAGGCATCTTCGAATCGGAGAGATTAGATTTCCTGTTTGAAAAGGAAAAGAAAATAAGCTCAGACTAGACTTGGGGTTTTGTAAGGAAGGCAGGAGTTTGCCCAACAGGGAGCTCAATGGTTTTAATGTGCCTGCACTGCCCCCAAGTCAGGGCTTTGGTGGGAAACACTCTGTACGATACAGTTAGTTCAGGTTTCTGATTCCATTATAATGAAGGCTTTCATCTTTCTGCACCTGCTTTATAAGAAATTATTCCCAAATAGGGTTAGGATTCGTTACAGTAACCCCATGGCATTTCAAAAGGGACCTCCAGACAACAGCCCTCCCTCCGTAATTTGCCCAAACACGCTCCCTCCTACCCCTATCCTACCCCTTCCCTGCACGGGAGCGTGCTGGATGGCACCTTCAGCCGGAGCTGTAAGAGGTACCTCTGGGCGCAGGGGCAGGGCAGGGCAGGTCCGTAAGGACCGGGCAGAGGAAGCATTTGTGCTCCTGTCCTCTGGCTCTAGCTTCCCCTCTGCCGTTTGGACAGCTTTCTGGTGCGCAGCAGCTACTTTGGATTATCCTCCTCCCCTGCCTTCCCCAGAAAAGTCATCTTCATGTTTTCACCTGAAGCCACTAAATTGCCAAAACCCTGTCAACCTTCCCCACCATCAGACTGGCCAAATATCGCTCCAAATTCCTTGAGAGAGTGGGCCACGATGAAGTCCTTTTGTTAACTCCTTAAAGGAAGGAAAAACCACTCCTCTGATTCTTCTTTACTTCTTTGGGGGGGTGGAGGAATGATTTATGGTGTAATAACTGAGCAGTGATTCATCAAACAACTCAGCCATCAATTTATTATGAAGGAATTTCCAAAGGAGGATAGAATAGCAGCTCCAAAACCAGCGCTTATGGTTGAAGCGCTTTATGAAGCTATTTAGGGTGATTGGGCTGTGCTCTTGATTATTTGTTTGCTCTGTTTATCGGTGAGGTGGGGCTGCGGTGTTATCAGAGGCTATATGGTGAAGAAATGAGCTGGAGAGACGAAGACTAATCACCATGTCGGGGAGGGTGCAGGGGGGGCAATGCTGGGATTAAAGCAGCACTGGGACCTCTGGTCTGAACCCAGCGATTTGGCAGAATAAAATACCAGCAGGGAAAG